TGAAAGCTCCCAAACAGAGTAAAAAAATCTTAATAATGTTGATAGAAAAACCTACTCTACAAAAGATATAACTTGGTTGGGATACTTGGGGTAGTATTTAGATATACTTTAAAGCTGATATGAGAAGGTATACTAGCACTGAGACCTTAATAGAATATTTGTTACAAAAAAGATAGATTAGATACTACTACTAGATGATGTTCTTTTTATTTCAAAAATAGAAATAACTTAAATATAGTTTTTTTAAATTTAAATTTAATAACTACCTTAGTTTTGTTCAATATATTCATATTTTTAAGTATTGTAAATATTAATCTATAACTATATACTAAAAATATTTGTGTGTAATGATAATATTTAGAGTATTCTATTTATACTGTAATGATAACATTTAGACTACCTGTATAAATAATTGATTCAATTAATTCAATTGTATAACTGTTAAAACCTAATTTTTTAAACTTTAAAGAAAATTTTAATAAGATAACCTTTCTTGGGCTTCTAATTAAAGTTGTAAAAAAGATTTTTCTAGTTCTAATGGTATTTAAATCATCAAAATCGGCTTGGTGAATCCCAAGATATTTGGGTTTAAAAGCATGAACATAAGGATCTACAAATTGGTAGTTATACAAAGTCTTATCTCTTAAACCATAATGTGGGCAAATTTGCTTGCTAAAATTTTTTTTATATCATTCTTACATAATTGCCTCTGATTTTACTATGCTTTGTCCCCCTATTACTAAGCTTAAATGAAAATTTGCCACATGATTGATTACCTATAATTTTTGTTTCATAGTAACTTCCATATTTATTATGCACTACTGATCTAAAATAATGAACACAACATGCATAAGTATTTGATAATTAATGTTATAAAAAAAAAAATTCTCACAGTAATGTCCAAATGTAAAGCCAAAGAATTGTCTTCGGATTTTTTATCTTCGAGTTCATCATCTTCGGGCTTATCATCTTTGAGTTCGTTGTTTTTGTCTCCTTTTGAAAGTGCTGAAGAATTTGCTGAAGAATACTTACTGATTTTGATATTCCGTCAGCATTCTTTTGATGATCCGGATTCAGATGATAACAATGACGACCAGAATGCTGCAGAAATAGATGCTGTTAGTGTCTCTAAAAAAAAATGTAAATCAGCAGAGACTATACTTCTACCACCGTCTTTAAACTTTGAACTGCTTGTTCACCAAAGTTTGCACAGGACAAATATTAGGTTGCTGCCTCACTTCGATATCACTGTCTTCAAAGCGATTGATTTTTTTTAT